ATTCGACCAGTCTCTGGTGTTCCTTTTCTTTCTGTTCTGCTTCCATAGAATCATAGAATCATAGAATATAAGGGTTGGAAGGGACCCCAGAAAGTCATCTAGTCCAACCCCCTGCTCAAAGCAGGACCAATTCCCAGTTAAATCATCCCAGCCAGGGCTTTGTCAAGCCTGACCTTAAAAACCTCTAAGGAAGGAGATTCTACCACCTCCCTAGGTAACGCATTCCAGTGTTTCACCACCCTCTTAGTGAAAAAGTTTTTCCTAATATCCAATCTAAACCTCCCCCACTGCAGCTTGAGACCATTACTCCTCGTTCTGTCATCTGATACCATTGAGAACAGTCTAGAGCCATCCTCTTTGGAACCCCCTTTCAGGTAGTTGAAAGCAGCTATCAAATCCCCCCTCATTCTTCTCTTCTGCAGGCTAAACAATCCCAGCTCCCTCAGCCTCTCCTCATAACTCATGTGTTCCAGACCCCTAATAATTTTTGTTGCCCTTCGCTGGACTCTCTTCAATTTATCCACATCCTTCTTGAAGTGTGGGGCCCAAAACTGGACACAGTACTCCAGATGAGGCCTCACCAATGTCGAATAGAGGGGAATGATCACGTCCCTCGATCTGCTCACTATGTCCCTACTTATACATCCCAAAATGCCATTGGCCTTCTTGGCAACAAGGGCACACTGCTGACTCATATCCAGCTTCTCGTCCACTGTCACCCCTAGGTCCTTTTCCGCAGAACTGCTGCCTAGCTGGCTAAAGTCTGGCTAAATCCAGTTTCTGTTGGACATTGCTTTCTGTCATCCTAGCCCCTCTGTTTTTAACCTAGCTATACCCGAGAGTTAGAAAGAAAAAAAAACCTGCTTGTGAATTCTAAATTCACTGTGCTGTAACTTGATACCTTTGCCTCTGATAGCTGTTCCCAGCCTACAGAAAAATCCTTTTGTTAAAAAAAACTAACACCTCTGCCTCCAGGCAAAGAGACAGAAAAATCTCTAGCTGCTTTCAGTTAAAAAACCCAACCTCTTCATGTCTGTGCTTTTGTTTCAAAATGATCTCTGGTTCAAAAAGATCTCTGGTTCAAAATGATCCCACCCCTCTGCCACTATGTCAGGGTTTCTTCCCCACTCTGAACTCTAGGCTACAGATGTGGGGACCCGCATGAAAGACCCACTAAGCTTATTTTTACCAGCTAACGTTAAAAACTTCCCCAAGGCACAAAGTTTTTGCCCTTGGATTAAGTAAAGGCTGCCACCACCAAGTGATTTAACAAACAATCAGGGAAAGGACCACTTGGAGTTCCTATTTCCCCAAAATATCCCCCCAAGCCCTTACACGCCCTTTTCTGGGGAGGCTTGAGAATAAACAAGATGAGCACAAACCAGCATTGGATTTTTAAGACTCTAAAAACCCAATCAGATTCTTAAAAAACAGAACTTTATTAGAAGAACAAAAAAAAAAGATAAGAGAACAACTCTGTAAAATCAGAATGGAAGATAATCTTACAGGCCGTCAGATTCAAAACATAGAGAATCCCTCCAGGCAAAACCTTAAGTTACAAAAAGACACAAAAACAGGAATCCACATTCCCTCCGGCACAGTGAATTTTACAAGCCAAAACAAAGAAAGCTGCATCCGATGAAGTGAGCTGTAGCTCACGAAAGCTTATGCTCAAATAAATTGGTTAGTCTCTAAGGTGCCACTAGTACTCCTTTTCTTTTTAAAGAAAACCTAATGCATTTTCTAGCTAGATTACTTACTAACTTTACAGGAGTTGGAGGGCTTGCATCCTTGATCTGTTTCCGGCAAAGGTATCACACAGACAGACAAAAGCCTTTCTCCCCCTCCAGATTTGAAAGTATCTTGTCCCCGCATTTATCATTTTGGGTCAGGTGCCAGCCAGGTTACCTGAGCTTCTTAACCCTTTACAGGTAAAAGGACTTTGCCTCTGGCCAGGAGGGATTTTATAACACTGTATACAGAAAGGTGGTTACCCTTCCCTTTATATTTATGACAGAAGGAGATTCCACCACCTCCCTAGGTAATGCATTCCAGTGCTTCACCACCCTCCTAGTGAACATGTTTTTCCTAATATCCAACCTAGACCTCCCCTACTGCAACTTGAGGCTTGTTTTGTCATCTGCTACCACTGAGAACAGTCTAGATCCATCCTCTTTGGAACCCCCTTTCAGGTAGTTGAAAGCAGTTATCAAATCTCCCCTCATTCTTCTCTTCCGTAGAGTAAACATCCCCAGTTGCCTCAGCCTCTCCTCATAAGTCATGTGCTCCAGCCCCCTAATCATTTTTGTTGCCCTTCGCTGGTCATGTGCTGGCTAAATACCTTGTGGGCATTACCACAGGAGCAAACATGTAGTAAATATAGCTAATATTCATAACTTCAGATACCAAGATGAATATACATGCATAGAAATAGCATTATCATAAGTACCAGCTATTTCATTTACATGACTATTCCCAAAAGAGATTCTGAAAAATCACACCACGTACCAGAGACCCTATGTGCCAGCACCATGCCCCACTGGAGTTTTGTTATCTGTTATGTAACAACAGAGATGGAGCCAGTGACATGACTCCATTTAGCTTAAAAGGGCAAGGTTAATTTTTAGCTGTTCAGGTGTGACTGCACCTTTAGTCAGTGAGGGCATATTAGCTGGCACACATTCAGGTTAATGCGCTTCAGTGTTCCTTTGCAGTTAACTTTTTAATATTCATAAACCTGGTATGTGCTGAGGTGCTTTAAAGCATAACACAGGTTTTTAGGCCTGCAAATCTGTGAACCTCTGCCTCTTTGAGATTTTATTATTAATTATTATTATTTTGCTGGTCATAATGTGGGAAGGTATCCTCTCTGCCCTCTGCTCATGAGGTTATGTATGTGTCTTGTAGCACTCTCCTGAACACCAGCTGGAAGGAATATTTTTTTCAGTAAGTGTGGACTGATTCTTTTCTCTTAGAAGGCATGTAATTTTTTCAGGTTCACAGTGATTAACACAGAAAATAATTGGGGCTGTTAAACTTTCTTCAAATTCCATAGAAAATTATGTTCAGATATATTTTCCAGTACAGTGATGAAATGAGTGTTTGTATATACAAACATCAACATGCTTAACTACTCACTTCCCCCAAAATATGTAGTATTTCAGTCAGTTTATATAGAATATGGGAGTTGGGTGAGGAGCCATTTCAGCATACATATGACTTATTAAAAGACAAATTTTAAGTAGATCTGTATCCTAAACTTCATTATGATATTGTATCCAAACATTGCATTTCAATGGGAGATTCAACTTCCTTTATAGGAACAAAACAGACTCCTGAAACTCTTACCACAAAGGTGGTCCATAGACATGCAAATAGTCCCATTGTCTTCAATGGGATTGATCAAATGATTAAGGGTAACAGAATTAGATTCCAAGTTTGTAAATTGTTCTTGATAAAACTGACAATGCCTGAGCTGTCAGATCAGAAGGAGCTTCATTGGAATAAAGGTGGGCAGATGTGTGATAAGTCTTAGCTCTGTTGCTAAGATGGGGAACATATTTTCAGCAAAGTTCTTGGCAGATTCCTGAGGCAGCTCGTTTAAGGTCGTCAGTATAATCTTCACTTATAGTTCTCTCACCCACAAAGCTGGAAAATGAGGCATTTGTTTTCTTTTTTTTTTGCTGCTCCAGTTAGCAAAATGCATGTTAGACTAGTTTGGCTGCAAAGAAGAATTCTATGTACACTGGGGACAACACCTGATACCTGTCAGGCTGCAGAACTGGGCTGACATCAGAATCCAAACATCCTCTGGTCAGTGCAAGCAGGGGCATTCCTCTAATGATTTGGACTTGATGTGATGCAATATGACCGTTATGTATAATTCAGACCAATGGGGAGAAACCGAATCAAAAACACTGTTTAAACACCTTCCATCCCGCCCCCTCCCCTCTTGAGGACTCCTGACCAATTTAACAGCACAATACATGTGCTAACAAACTTAAACAAAGCCTTTGTTTAAGTTTGTTAGTATACGCATTGTGCTGTTAAAGCCATATAAAGAATGAAAGCCCTCCCTAGCCGCGTTCTGCTCCTTTAAGGGTGCGGGGGCTAGCCCCAAGTTTTTCCGGTACTCTGTGCCCCCTAAAAGTCTCTTGCCGGTACTACTGGCTGGGGAGTTTCTGTTTCTGAAGCAAAGGACAGCAAACAGCTGACTTCAGCAGTTGAACTAGGGGAGGAGAGGTCACATGACCACAAGAGAAAAACGAGTGAAAAACAATGCCTTGGCCAGCCTCTGTTCTGCCTCCGGGACCCGTCTGTGCTGCAGCCAGTCAACAGAGCAAGTCAACAGGGTAAGGCCGTAAACCAGCCTCCTTTTATAACAGCTAGTTTTGGGTCCCCCTGTCCAAAATACTAAGATTGAAGCATTCCAGAGCAGAAAGACCCCCAAACACAATGGGGACTGCTGTATTATTGCAACTAGTTTTAGAGCCACTCAGGCTAGCAGACTAGTTCCAGGCCAGAAGACCCTAGGTTTTAGTCAAAGCTCCAGGCAGCCAGGACTTTCAGGGATGATCCTATTATCGGGTGTAGCTTTTGTCCCCTGCTCGTTTTGTTTAGTAGCAAGACAGGCAGATTTCTATCCCTCTCTGGGTCCTAAAGACCACCTGTCTGCTCTGGGCTGGTGTTTGCAGTGCACATGCAGTTGTTAAACATTTAGCACGTCTCTGGTTTTGTTCCAGCGGGATGAAACCCAGCAGAGGTGATGAAATGTTGTATGGCTGGTTCTATGAACCTCTCTTATTGGGACTAGTGGTTGCGGCCCTCTTTTCCCATCTTGTAGGGAAACCTGCAGCAGGAGAATAGTAGGGAGCTCTAGACGTTGAAGATCTCCAAGTCTCCGTGGCACCATAGCATCTGGAGCAGGAATTTTCTGGCCCACAGAACTGGAAGGAGACCTGGCTTCCCTACAAGGAGAGTGTTCCCAGATCCTGTGAGTTTGGGGGAGCCCTGGAGAATCCATGCAGCAGGCCAGCCCTTTGAGAATACATCCGAGCCCTCCCTTTATGGGCAATTGTGCTGTTACAGGCTGCAAAAGCAGGCAAGAAACCCATGCAGCAGCTCCTAGTGGGCAGACAGAACCGAGCAGGACACAATAGTGATAACTGCTATAGTGGAATTTGTGCTGACACCTGTCAATCCACTGTTTCTTCCTGGCCATCCCCCTCCCTTGATCACCTCCACCACACAATGTTTGCATGGCCTGGAGAAGGGCAGACATTGCCTCAAAGAAGAGTGAATCCCTTAAAAACAATTAAAATGCAACAATACTCATCACTTGCTGAATACTGTCCGGGCCTGACTGTTACAAGTGTTTGCAGTTCCATAGCTCTAGTGCTGGAACATGAGTCATCAGCTGTGTCTGCACAATCTGTCTGCTGCTTTATTTAGGGGTCTAGATGTGAGGATGGTAAAAGGAGCCTTCTGTGTCCATGACAACTGCCGGAGCTGGTGAGCTCTGAGGCCAGTGAGAGGAATGGCTACTGTTCAGGAAGGCCAGGGAGGGTGAGCATCTAGGTAGAGATTGCATTTAATGCTACCCGAGAGATTCACAGTCAGTGGGGCTGAACTTTGGGTTTATTGGGTTAATAACCACAAATAGTGAGCCAAATGCTGCAGTTAGTTACACCTGACCTGGAGATGTTCCCTGGACTTCGGTAACTGGAGTTCTATCCCATAACTAAGGCCAGGATTCAGCCCGCTGTCCCTACGCATTCCCTTAGCATGGAGGTGGGCAAAGTACGGCCCGTGGGCCACATCCTGCCCGCAGGACCCTCCTGTGTGTCCCTGAGCTCCTGGCCCGGGAGGCTAGTCCCCGGCCCCTCCCTCGCCGTTCCCCCTCCTCATGCTGCCCGTGTAGAGTATTAAACGGCTTCGCGTGGGAATGTGCTACGGTAGCAGTTACGGAGAGCAATTTACCACACGACACCGGCACAGCGCTTTGGGCGGCGCGGCTGCAGCGACTCCAGCCGACGGTGCTCTGTGCTGCGCGGTAAGGGGGCAGGGAGCGGGGGGCTGGATACGGAGCAGAGGAGTTGGGGTGGTGGTCAGGGGGCGGCGGTGTGGACGGGGTCGGGGCGGTCCGAGGGCAGGGAACGGGGGGGTTGAATGGGGGCAGGGGTCCCGGGGGGGCAGTCAGGAAGGAGGGGGGATGGATGGGGCGGTGGGAGGCAGTCAGGGGCGGGGGTTCCGGGGCGGTCAGGGGACAGGGAGTGGGGGGTGGGGCGGACGGGGCAGGGGTCCTGGGGGGGCTGTCAGGGAATAGGGAGGGTTGGATGGGGCAGGAGTCTGGGGGGGGGGAGGTAGGGGGGGAGAAGCAAGGGGGGGGGGGGCGGATAGGGGGCTGGGGCACAGCTTGGCACAGCCTCCCCTAACCAGCTCTCCATACAATTTCCGAAACCCGATGTGGCCCTCAGGCCAAAAAGTTTGTCCGCCCTTGCCTTAGCATGTGCATAACCCCAGTGCTATTGGTGACCATGCTGATCCAGCCATTTTTGCTTGTTGCTGATGCTATTTCCAGGTCACTATCCTAGCCCATTCAGAGCGGGGCGGGCCTCATTGGCATGCAGCAGTTTTCTAGCTCTGGGACATGAAAATGGTTTGAGTAGCTCTTTCCCTTTCCCCAGCTCCATGTCCCTCATACCCAGCACCAAGAGCTTCTCTAGCAGGTCACAGGCATTCAGTAGGCCAGACTCTCCCCTCACACTTGTGTAAATCAGGGGTAACTCCCCTGAAGTTGGTGGATTACACCAGCATGAAACTGACTCGTTTGTCAGGGCTGTCAGACCCTGCATTGTTCTGCTGTTTACTCAGGAGAAGGGGCTGAAAGCCCCAGCCTGCCTGGTTAAGACGTCCAAGATACTATCTGTATGAGAACAGGAGACTGCCCCTGAGGGCAGATGACCAGGAGGGCGCAAAAAGAAGCAGGAAAGAAAATCAGTTGAGCCTCCTTATCTCTTCTCCTAGCTCCTTGCAGCTTTGGCTCTCTCGGTTTCTCTTCATTTCACACTCAGACAAAGTCCTTTCTCTTTCTGCTGACTTAGCCCCTGAACCGGAGCAGAAGATCCTGTTGCGACACTTCCCTGGTTTAATCAGTGACCTCATAGGAATCGGTTCAGCACGGCAGCCACCAGGCTCTGCAGATCAGTGTGTGGTCTCCCTGTCAGGGCTCTGATCACCATCTCTCCCCACTCCCTTCCCTGCTACTGCAGATATGGAGCCCAGGGTGTTGCAGCTCCTTCTCATCCTCCATGTCTTGGCCCTCCCGGTCCAGCTCTGTGGTGAGTACAGAAGCTTTCTACACACATTCTTCCTGTACCATGAGGGACTTTTAAAGGCACCTCGCTGTTTCTCCCCACTTCCACTCCCATGCATGCATCGATTAACACATGCAGACCCCACCAGGGTAGATGGAGGCACCTCTCTTCTTCCCATTAAAAATAAACCACTGCTGAGTATTGGTGCTGCAGTAGGGGGTGCTCTACCCTGTAAGTCAGTACTGAAGCAATGCCCCAGCATGGTGCTAGGAAGTCCTGTGACATAACAGAGCTCCCGACTGTTCGTGAGCGTTAAAGAGTCCAGGCGGTTTTGTTGAGATTGAGGGTATTAGCCCTGATATCCTCCTGACCAAATCCCCTTGTGGTTTTAAGCCAGGATTCATCACCTCCTGCTTTAAACTGTTGTGTAGCTTTGCTGTATGCTGGGAAATAGATGCTGCCTTGTGCCTTCCTCTCCAGAGGTGGCTGCTTTTCACTAGTGGGTGGCATGATTTGCATCTTCTGGGATTCTTCAGGTTGGAAAGCATTGTATAAATGCTAGGTGTTTTTCTCTTGGCTAAGAACGAGCTTGAACTCCCTGAGAGAGCCCAGGTCTGCCTGTGAGCAGCCCAAGGTTCCTGCATGTCTTGCAGGCCTGGGGGAGTATTGCATATGAAAGGAAAGTTATACTTGTTATACTTGTTTCAGCTTGTGTCTGGCTCGCTTGGTTTTTATTTCCTCTCCATTTCTTGGAGTGTTGACGGTTTTCCTCTGAGCTGTAAGAGGTGAAAGGCCTTCAGACACCATGGCAATGGGCACTGTTTACGGCCCTGGATAGAAAAGGTGCAGACGATAAGCTCAGTGTTGCATTTCTTTTTCATTGGAGTGCAGGGCATTTTATAGCTAATGTTAAGGCCACCTGTGGGAGCAAGCTCTGCTCTTGGTGTGAACAAACAGCTTCTGTTGAATTGGGAGAGAGCCGGCATCCCAGTGAACTGCTCTCCCGCTTCCCACACCCTACGTTTTTTAAAGTTAATTTAATGCTCTGAGGTTCCTGGAGACCATCCGTCTCTATCTGTGCCCAGAGCAGATGCAGCATGGGCACTGGCGATGGATGTCTCCCCCTTCCGAGTGCCTAAATCCTGACCTGGAGGGACCTCCTTCCTCTAGTGGAATGTAGGGTGAAAGCCTGGCCCCACAGAAGTCATTGTGGGTTTTGTTACTGAACAGGGGCCAGGGTTTCACCTTTGGTTTCGATGTCTTCTTGATCCTTGGCCCCTCTGCTGAGAGTGCCAGCCAAGGTGCCTAGTAGTGCCGGTTACGATACCCCCCTGGGGGTGAGGACACCTGTCCCCTACAGAGTTGTCCAAGACTCCCAATGTATTTCATGCAGACCACCAGCCAGATGGAACCAACTTTGTCATTGCTCACTTGGGACCAGATTCCAAGGGGTGGCTTAGAGTCGAAAGGCTCTCCTTCCCAGTCCCCTCAGCCATACGGTCCTCTAGATTAGTAACATGCTAGTTTCATACCCATGAGGTCACATAGCAGGCACATTCCTTAGGTACATTCAGCCCTTCAGTTATTCTTTTAATTGTGCATGGGCCTGCTGGCTTCTCTCCCTGCTGCCCCAAGGTCAGAGTCTCTCTGGGAGGAACCCCAATTCCTGCTTTCCAAGGCTCAAATCAGGCTGTCTAAAATAAGACTGCTCTCTCACCAGCTACTGGAGAGAGGCGCTAGAGAAATAAGGCTCCCCTAGATGGGTATTGCAGGGATCTGTGTCAAATAGACCCAAGGCTTTAGTTCCAAGACTTTGCTGGAGATCCCTGAAGAATGTGACATAGCACAGAAAGCGCTGATCAGATTCAGCCATGGCTAAGTCGTCCATCTCAGCTCTGTGTGTCCCAGGAAAACCCCATGTGCAGCCAGAGCTGCTGCTGCATCTCTTTATGAGGGAACCTATCTTCTTGTTCTCCCCCAAAGCACCTTCCAGCCCCGCTGAAACCAAAGCAACTGACCTTCCCAACCCAGACCACCAGTTTGGATACAGTTGCCCGGTCAGTAAGCTATTGTTTCCTTCCCTCTCATGTTAACAGCCTCCAGCACCTGCAGGAGATGGGCTGTTAGCGAGGCTGGCTTACTAAATGAGATTTAACATAGACTGTATAAAGCACCATGCATCTGTACTCCATCCCTTCTAGGCCATCCATGAGTTTGGCCTCAAATTTAAGATAAGGGCACAATTCTGAATTTGAAAAATTTGAACCCAGAATGTTGGATTCCAGCCTAAGGACTAAGCTCTTAATATTTGTAAGTAAAAAACACAACTCTTAGGGGGTTAGTGTTAGCAGGGACTGAACCAGCACCCTCCAGAGCTAGAGGCATGAATGCATCTTGCCTGTGCTAAACCCAGATCTGTGAGTGTGAATGCTGTCACAGGCTCTTAAATCTCTCTGTGGCTCAGCCACTAGAGAGAGCCCTATTGTATGAGCCTGGGTTACATTTACATGAAAGCTTAGCCCTGGTCTATGCTGAAAACTAGTGTTGGAATAATTAAGAAAATCCACACCTTGAGCGACACAGGTGCACTGACCTAACTCCTGGTGTAGGCAGCGCTATGCTGACAAGAGGGCTTCTCCCGATGACACAGTTACCACCCAGGGCCGTCCTTAAGCATACACGGCATACGAAGCTGCATAGGGCACGAAAATTTGGGGCACTCCTGGGTCTTAGCCCTGGTCTACACTACGAGTTTAGGTCAAATTTAGCAGCATTAGAGCGATTTAACCCTGCACCCGTCCACACAATTAATCCATTTCCTTCAACTTAAAGGGTTCTTAAAAACAATTTCTGTACTCCTCCCCCAACAAGGGGATTAGCACTGAAATCGACCTTGCCGGATCGAATTTGGGGCAGTGTGGTCACAATTTGACAGTATTGACCTCTGGGAGCTATCCCAGAGTGCTTCATTGTGACCGCTCTGGACAGCACTCTCAGCTCAGATGCACTGGCCAGGTAGACAGGAAAAGGCCTGCGAACTTTTGAATCTCATTTACTGTTTGGCCAGCGTGGCAAGCTGCAGATGAGTGCAGATCTCATCGGCAGAGGTGACTATGATGGAGTCCCAGAATCACAAAAGAGCTCCAGGATGGACCGAATGGGAGGTACAGGATCTGACCGCTGTATGGGGAGATGAATCCATGCTATCAAAACTCCATTCCAAAAGATGAAATGCCCAAGCATTTGAAAAAAACTCCAAGGACATGAAGGACAGAGACTATAACAGAGACCCACAACAGTGCCGCATGAAACTTAAGGAACTCAGGCAAGCCTACCAAAAAAACAGAGAGACAAACGGCCGCTCGGGGTCAGAGCCCCAGACATGCCTCTTCTCTGATGAGCTGCATTGCATTCTAGGGGGTGCAGCCACCACTATCCCACCCCTGTGCCTTGACTCCGTCAATGGATTATCATGCAACAGGGATGCACATTTCAGGGACGAGGAAGATGAGGAGGAGGAGGAGGAGGAGGAGGAGGAGGTTGAAGATAGTGGATAGCAAGCAAGCGGAGAAACCATTTTCCCTGAGAGCCAGGAACTGTTTCTCACCCTGGACCTGGAGCCAGTACCTCCCGAACCCACCTAAGGTGGGCTCCTGGACCCACCAGGCATAGAAGGGACCTCTGGTGAGTGTACCTTTGTAAATATAATACATGGTTTAAAAGCAAGTGTGTTCAATGATTAATTTGCAGCCAGCACAGCTACTGGAAAAGTCTGTTAACGTGTCTGGGGATGTAGTGGAAATCCTCCAGGGACATCTCCATAAAGCTCTCCTGGATGTACTCCCAAAGCCTTTGCAAAAGGTTTCTGGGGAGGGCAGCCTTATTCCGTCCTCCATGGTAGGACACTTTACCACGCCAGGCCAGTAGCATGTAGTCTGGAGTCATTGCATAACAAAGCATGGTAGTGTTTTCTGGCATTCAGGCAACATCCGTTCTTTATCTCTCTGTGTTATCCTCAGGAGAGTGATATCATTCATGGTCACCTGGTTGAAATAGAGTAATTTTATTAAGGGGATATTCAGAGGTGGTCATTCCTGCTGGGTTGTTTGTCTGTGGCTAAACAGAAATCTTCTCCGCTGTTAGCCACGCGATGGGGGGAGGGGTGAAGCGATCATCCCAGAGAATTGGTTGTGTGTGGGGGGTTTAATTGGGTTTGTGCTGCATGTTAACTCAAAAATCGCAGCCCCACCTTTTAAATTGCCAGCCCATTTTAAATGGCTAATCCAATGGCTGTTTGGTATGGGAAATGGGGGCGCTGCTGCTTGAAACCATTCCCACATGTTATGAAGGTTAAAGAAGCCAAAAGACTGTGACTTACCATGGCTGTATGCAAGCCGAATTCTGTTGCCCGCTGGCCCTGCGTGTGTGATATCTCACACCAAACTGGCAGACCCTCAATGTAAGAGGCAAAATGTGACCTTTACCGAATGCACATGTGCTATGTAATGTTAACAGCAAGGTTCACCCTGAAAGAGTCTATCCATTGTTCTCTAAAATGTGTCTTTTTAACTACTACCTCTCCCTTTTTTTCCTCCTGCAGCTGCAAATGTTTCAACGCTCCCCCTATCATTTCCTTCCCAGAGGCTAGCGAAGATTAGAAGGCGAAAAAAATGCACTTGCGATGAAATGTTCTCTGAGCTCATGCAGTCCTCCCACACTGAAAGAGCCCAGCAGAATGCATGGAGGCAGACAATGTTAGAGTCCAGGAAAGCGCAATATGACCACGAGGACAGGTGGTGGGTTGAAGATAATAAGTGGCGGGTTGAAGATGATAGGTGGCCTCTGCTTGCTGACAGAAGGCAGGAGTCAATACTGAGGCTACTGGAGGATCAAACTGATATGCTCCGGCGCATGGTTGAGGTGCAGGAAAGGCAGCATGAGCACAGACTGCCGCTATAGCCCCTGTGTAACCAACCGCCCTCCTCCCCAAGTTCCATAGCCTCCTCACCCAGATGCCCAAGAAC